AAGTGCGCGCCTCATCAGTGGCGCCACCCTCCTCGCATGGTAGGCACCGATGATTCCCGACCCCTTCAGCCCCTTCTCCTTCAGGAAGTGGATGGCGGCGAGACGGACCTGGATCCTCTTCTTGTCCTTCTCTAGGACACCCCACTTCCTCCAGGAATCTAGGGCCTCTTCGATTAAGCGCCCAGTATACTCCGGTAAGGGGGTGGCAGCATCGTTCTTGAGATAGAACCAATATGAATGCCACCCCTTGTTGGAGGTCGACAGCATCATCGCTGGGTAGTCACCGACCTAGTTATTCCAAAGCTGGATGCCGGCGCATCCCATTGGCATATTCAGCTCCTGTCACTTCTCCCTCTTCTTCTGGAGCGTGACGGCGAAGAAGTGCCGCCACAGATCGAAGTGGGGGCTGATCCCTAGGAATCCCTCACACAGGGCAACGAACGTTGCCATGTGTTGGATCCCATTGGGGTTGAGGTGCTGCAGCTCTATCTTGTAATAGAACTGTCAACACGGAATTTCATCCCGTGCCGAGGACACATGAGCAAGCCGGAAGGGTCCACTCGATGGAGCTAGAGATTCGCCTAGCTTCAGCGCAAGGGTGGTCGATCCTGCGCACTCCTCCCAAGACGTGCCAGTCAATTTGAGCCTGTAATTGACAAGGAGAGAAAGCTTATCAGTAATTAAGGGCGGAACATGCTAGTGTTGCCAGACAGTCCCGAATGTGCGGCTCTGAGAGCCGATATGAAAGGAGATTGACTAAATAGCCAATTCCAGCATATTCATAAGAATAAATCGGTTCAAGATCATGGGGTTGTGTAAGAAGAATCGGTTATCATTATGAATATCATTGTTTAAACAAATTCTAGTCACTGGCAAAAAGATATCAACAGTGATTAGTTCATGCTAAGCCAATGACTGCAAGTAACCGAACCCCTTTTTATGAAAGAAACGATTCATCATCATTCAACCATTTAATAGAGATAAATCTAATAAACATATTAGATCTCATCTATCGCTATGACCAGTGGGGCATGAGGCAGAATCATGCAGGCCGTAGAAACAACAATAGACTCGACGACCCTAACTTATTACTAATATCAGTGGGGCATGAGGCAGAATCATGCAGGCTGTAATACAATAATAAGATCATGGGGCTAACACATCTTTCAACCTATCGCTACTTCAATGATCTCGTGATGCGAACCGTTCATGAAAGCGCTCGATATCGGCTAAAACAGCTGATTCAGGCATAACGCATAGTTAATGTCGTGCCCTCTCAGGAATAGATCTACCAAATAACGATCCCCACTCCACGGTGCTAACAGTGGGGTGTGAGGCAGAATCACACAGGCCTTGATAACGGGCCATGGAATAGTTTTTGCTAGCCAATAGATCTACTCAAGATCAAACACACCTTAACCGCACGCTATGCACGATCAAGATTGACATAAAACAGCTGATAAAACATAACTCATCATTTAAAGTGCAGATTAAATCGGTTTAGATTAACAAACGATGGGTTAACAAAGATGTAAGGCCGATCTAGATCAATCCCAATCGGGCGAAGTGATATTGCTGTAATTAAATAAACAATGGAAGCAATAAGCAATATCGGTAACTTAATGAATCTATCTGAAGGAACGCCACCCTTAGATAGAGCCGATAACTTGACCTTAATCTAGTTCGAGCAATGGAGGTCGATCGGATCGATGCAGCCGTACTTCAACTAGACAAGAGTCGATAACTAACTCATACCAGAGTCGTAGTGGAGGTCGACCGGATCGATGCAGCCGTACGAACAGAGGTATAAGCCATGACAGTACTTACAGACAAGCAGTGGAGGTCGACTGGATCGATGCAGCCGTACTTGCTGAAGAACTCGCCGAGATCTACTCTACTCCTACTCCTAAGGGGTGGCCGGAGCCGAAAAAGTAAATAACTTGTATTTGATTGATTGTGTGTCCTTTACAATAGCCGGGCTTTGATATTTATACCCGGGACCTGCTCATGACTTCTGTCTAAGCACGACTCATCACAATTTTTGACCCTATAGAAAACATTCCTAATTTAAGATAACTTGGACTCTAATCTTTCCCCTTTTGTAGAGCCCATCATGTTTCGTCCTGACACCGATCGTAGCCTTTCTCATTATCTGCCGGCGCTGCCTGAAGAAAGCCGATTCCAGTGCTGCATTCGAATCAGCTGATCCCGATCCGCACGCAATTGATTCCCTGCTGACATGATCTTGGGAGCTTTCGAGTCCCTGCGACTCTTCTTCCAAATTTTGGTGTAAATAAGAACAACAATCCTCGAAGGAATCTATGGGCGGGGGTGGCGAGCCCACGCTCATGGAAGCACGTGAATGAGACGATGTAGCCGTCGAGCGGCGATGACATGTCCTCCTCGCTGGGTAGCCACCACTCCTCGGCGGCGGTCCACGCGCAGAGAAGACCGTGGCGGACAAGGCCCTCCAAGCGCTGGAGGGTGATTTCAGAGCGGCACCACGGCTCCATTGGAAGATGGGGGTGGGTGGATGCAAACTTGACGACGGCTGAGATGCGGATGCAGGGAGCTTAGGCGATTAGCGGCGAAGATTGCAGATGCGAAGGCAAGGAGGCAAAGTACAAAACCCTAGGGGCAAACCCTTTGGTTTTATAGGGGTAACGGATGCAAGGAAACCAACCCTCCGCCTGGATATCCACGCCTACCATGATCCATCACCATGTCACGTCATGGGATATGCGCCCGCAATCCCTATCCTTTCCCTCTAAAGATGCATCGGACGTTTTGCCTCCCCGGGCGGACCAGGACTCTTTACCAGCAAAAGGAATATGGGTCAAAAAGTGTTTCTCTGGCCTGCTTGGGCCCAGGAGTTCAAGGACTGGCCCATCAACGGTTTCGACGGCCATCCCAAGACACCATTACGACAAGGGACGGGCCCACAAGCGGCCAGAACTCAGGCACGTGAGCGTCATGGGAGTCTCGGCCCTCGATCGAGTCTCAACCGGGCTAACCCTGGCTAGATCCCCCATGAATGGGATACCGGGACCTGAATCAAACTATCTAGCTAAACAACCACCAAATCTCACGACCATACCCACGAAGGGTCCGACCTCGACGAAGAAGAAATTGCCATCTTCAGGGCACGCCGTGGGCAACAATAGAGGGCCAGGGCTCTCAGAATCCTCTCTTTCAGAAAACCCTCCGAAGGAGTATCCTACTCCTCCGTAGGCTCGGGGGCTACACCCACCGGATGCGCTCACGCGCACCGGCTGGCAAGTCAAAAAATCCCCCAGGCAATTCTACTCGATTCACCCGGGGGCTCAGGGGCTCGAGGGCTACTGTCGGGGAAGAATATTAGGGTATCCAAAGAGGAGGAGCTAATGACCATCAACACTGATTCATCCACGCGATCAAGAGCGCGACTACACCGCTTGCTGGGTCACTCCTTGTCCGTCCACCGAGACCATGGGCCCCGCCTCAAGCTAACTCCCAAGGGCCGGCTCTGCCTCACCCGACGTTCGATGGCAGACTCCGTCTTGCCTGACCCCCAAGGGCTGGCTCTGCCTCGCCCAAAGTTTGGGGGCTGGCTCCGCCTCGCCCAACGTCTGAGGGCAGACTCTGTCTCGCCCGACCCTCGAGGGCTGGCTCCACCTCGCCCGACGTCCGAGGGCTGGCTCCACCTCGCCCGATGTTCGGGGTTTGGCTCTGCCTTGCCCGATGTCTGAGGGAAGACCCCGCCTCGCCCCACCCCCGAGGGCTGGCTCTGCCTCGCCCGACGTCTGGGGCTGGTTCCACCTCGCCCGACGTCTGAGGGCAGACTCCGTCTCGCCCGAGCCCCAAGGGCTGGCTCCGCCTCGCCCGACGTTCGGGGGCTGACTCCGCCTCGCCCGACGTCTGAGGGCAGACTCTGCCTCGCCCGAGGTCTAAGGGCAGACTCCGCCTCGCCCAACGTCCGGGGGCTGGTTCTGCCTCGCCCGACGTCTACGCGCTGCTCCTTCATAACTACGCGCGCAGATAAGGCAGGGCACTCAAGTCAACCGCAATACCGAGGACCATACCCTACACGCCTGTAGGAAAGTACCATCAGGATATGACAAGATGGACGCTTTAAGCCCTTCCAGGCATGTTAGTGCCCGAACTGTGTTGTAGGCGCCGACATTTGCCTTACAGTGTTGTGGGTGCCGCCATTTGCCCTCGGGCGCGAATCCTGACGGAAGCATATGAAAACCACTATGGTCCAGGAGGAAACTCGCATCATCTACAGTAACGGACGTACGGTCACTGCGCCATCTGCTCCCCGTAGGGTCACGGATCAGCACCCTGGTCCATCGCGTCGCCCGCCGGGCAGGATGGGATGCGATCACTTGCTGACAAATCCAAAACATGGCATCATCAACGAACAGACGCCTAGCGCGGCCCTATCAGGATTAGCCAACATGCACCCGGCGTAGAGCTGTTTCTGGCACCGCCTGCATGTCAGCAGGGCCCGCATAGAGGAAAAGGAAGACCCGACATCTTTGAAGGACCTTCTTTGCCTCTTGTTTTTCTTCTTTCTCCCATCTGTAATCCCTGCTTCCCCTTGGTCTATAAAAGGGAAGGCAGGGCACCCCACTAAAGCGATCGATTCAACACACCACACATCACATCACACATAGTTGAGTAGCAACCAAGCTCTTAGCGCCCATTCGACCTTTCCATTAGAGACTTGGGACCTGTCCCTCTCTCGCCCGTTTGTAACCCCTACTAAGAACTTTTCAGTGCTAATAACACGAGCAGCAGCCACGAACTGGACCTAGGGACATTCTGCCTGAACCAGTATAAACCTTGTGTCTTTTAGTACACCATCCGGGTCAGACGCGCAATAACACAAATTTACTCGTTGGTGTTTACTCGAAACACCGACAGTAACCTTGAAGAGACTCCACGCAGGTTACCCTGCCCTGAGCTTCGAGGATGCTGATGTTGTTCACATCATGCAAACACCTGTCCCCAATAAGGACAAGGCATTGGTGATTGCAGTTGATATGAAGAACAAGACTATAAAAGATGTGGCTTATTTTGGCTCTGGAAGGTATCTTGGTTACAATCACACCTACCTTCAAAGTGGGATCTCGAAGTATCTGGACATTTGGTCCTCCTCCAGGTAATTTTTTTCGCGTTCTCTGTTTTGGGCCAACATAGTACATACAAACTAAGACTAAAATGTAGGTTTGTTATCTTGCAGGACCATTTATGTTTTATTAATTATGTTATGCTTCTAACATCACAGTATAAGGTGTTATATCGTTCATTTTGTTTCTGGTTTTCATTAGTAGTCATTATTTATTCACATTAGTTATGTTATGCAGTAACATCTTGATATAATGTGTTATAACGTTCATTTTGATTCTGGTTTTCATTATTAGTCATTATTTATTCAAATCTGTGCTCATAGTATTCTTTAGATCTGACTGGTCTATTGTTTTCCAACAAACTATTTGTCTCATGATTGTTAATATTTTACCTCCATTGATAAATCTTCTATCCTTTACATTTACATCTGCAAAACTAGCACTTCTCCCCCCCTCTGCATCTTCATTCTGTAATTTCTTTTTGGCGACATATAAAGGAATGCTTCATTTCATCATCCAAAGAAGTCTATCTCCACTTCAATTCATTATTCTCTATCATATGGAGTAAAACCCTTCTCCTGGAAGTTTTTCTTCTTAACTGCTTACAGCGACCCTTCTCCCAGAAGTTTTTCTTATAAATTGCTTATAGCGTGCTGTATCTGAATGATGATATGGTTCAGCAGTTTGTTCATGGGTACCAAATATCTATTATCCTATCTCATAGCCAGGATTCATCTTTCATGTGTTGCATCGTGCACGCCATGTTGTGTAACTCACCCTTATTGGTCATTGTTAAAATGTTCCAAAATGTGCACAACTTTGTGCACGTATACTACATATTTTTTATTTGCCTTTTAGTTTTATATTTTTTCATCAGAACTAATATGATTTCCATTAAACACAGTAAGTAATATATTGGTATAATAGCTGTCAAACCCTGTAATTTTAATTTTTGACCACAGCTAAGGAGCCAAATAATTCTTGTAGTTGGCTTATTTCTCAGTTCTACATACCATTTCTCAGTTGTCCAATTGCCATTCTGGATTATTGCCAGAAATGTGAGAATGTGCACCAATGAAGCAATGTTTTCTTTTGGTTCATGGGCATGCTTGCTGCTTTTGCTGTTTAGTTTTCATCCGTTTTCATTGGAAACCTAAATTATTTCCCTAACACAGAATAAGCAAAAGACAGGCTAGTTTGCCTAGTCTAGAGTTGGTCACCCTGACTAAAGATCCGAAGGAGCCTATGCTGGCTCCTCTATCACAAAAAATGACAATACAACAAAGTACCATTTTCAAGTTCTTGACAAATACTACTCAGTCAGAAAAATATAGTGTGATGTTAATGCTACTGTCATGAAGCGCAGAACAGTTGTTTGACCACTCTGTTTTTCAATGGAATTACACTTGTGGGTCTTTTACCTATGTAACTTCTATGAGTAGATAGATACTTACAATCTAATCATTGTTTGCCCACCAAGGCATTTCTTAACTAAGATGCACTCTTGTACCGGAAACAGATCTTGGGAGAATGCTGATGCAACAAGTAGGGACCATCTATCAAGCTAAATTTTGGGACCATCCATCATGCTAGAAGTTCCAGGGAAGGGTGCGCGTGCCTCTGCAGCCTAACTCTGAACTTGGAAGCAACAAGACATGGCCGTCAAGCACAAAAGACACTTGTTAGCAAGATGGGTGACTAAATTGGTCTGCAAGCTGAAATAAAGCCCTTCACACCTCACCCGAGATGTCTATGGGGTGTTGCATTATTGGACTTGTATTAACTTAGCTTGCATTGGGACTATATTTATTGGTCGCCGAGTACTATGTCGTATGCTAGCTATGTGAGACTGTTATTTTGTGGATGAATGGCCATTGTCATATGTTCAGGATTTTCCAAGGGTCCCTGCAGATCCCTCCCAGCTTCTTGTCTCTTTGGATATGTGGAGAAATTGGATATTTATACCTTTCTAGTGTCTTTGGCTATGTGGACAAAGGGTTGCAATTGTTGGAACCGGTGGTGACCACCGAGTTCACGATCTTGGAGCTGGCTTGCAGCCGGCCCGACTCGTTACGAGCCTGTGCTCCCACAGGTCCTAGGTCCTAGGTCCACCGGAGCTGACAACATATAAGGCCTTGGGCCTTACTCGACCCAAAAGACTAGCCTGATAGGTGAGGGTTCTTCCGCCTTATATGTTGTGCTCCCCCACCATCGCTACACGATGTGGGACTAAACCCCAACAATCTCCCCCTTAGTCACACATCGGGGTGCCCCCGCCATATGTGACGCTCGAGATTTTTTTATCGGGTTTAGCTTTTCTGACCATGGGCTCCGATACCAATTGTTGGAACCGGTGGTGACCACCGAGTTTACGATCTTGGAGCTGGCTTGCAGCCGGCCCGGCTCGTTACGAGCCTGCGCTCCCATAGGTCCTAGGTCCATCGGAGCTGACAACATATAAGGCCTTGGGCCTTACTCAACCCAAAAGACTAGTCTGATAGGTACGAGTTCTCCCGCCTTATATGTTGTGCTCCCCCACCATCGCTACACGATGTGGGATTAAACCCCAACAATCTCCCCCTTAGTCACACATCGGGGTGCCCCCGGCATATGTGATCGAGATTTTTTTTATTTCCATCTTCTCGGTTCACGCTCTAGGGTTTTAGTCGCCGCGAACGCCACCTGCCGGTGTCGCGCCGTCGCCGAGCTCGATCCTGGGAGCTCGGTTCCACAGCAATTGCATGGTTTCCTGGACATAGTAATTGGTGCCGCAGAATGTATACAAGAGCAGAGTAATGCACAGTTGATGCCTCTGAGTGCCAAACACACCAAAGCTGTAGGAACATCATCAGAATCCTTACCATCACCTTGTAGCCTTCTCTGAGTGCAAAACACACCAAATCTGTAGGAGCATCATCAGAATCCTTACCACCACCTTGTACTTCGCATTCCAGTTCAATTGATAAATAGGCTTTGGCTGGGTGCCCCTTCTCACACGTTATCAACATCATTTATTTGTCCCATTCCAGTAGCCAAATGCCTTGATAGCGATAACACATATAGATGTGGCCAATGTTCACACTCCCTGCATTCCCCTTGATCAAACACTCCGTGATTAGCATAAAACACTGCAGTTCTGCTACCCTTGTGGTCTTGAATTTGCACGGGATTGGAAGGCAACAATGGCTGCCATACCTCTTCTCCATTTGAGGAAAACACATACACGGTGCATCTCTTTCTTTTCTATATACCAAATATTAAAGAGCTAAAATTTTATCCCTTTTTTTCCACCTTCCCTTAACTACTGCTGAACAATGGAGAATTTTTCCTGTCATTTTTTTCTTTAGATGCAAGCGATATGGATGTATGCAGGGAACTAAACATGCTGTGGATGAGATAAACGAAATGTATGCATGAATTATTCGAATAAACATGCAATGGAATGCAAAAATTAAAAAGATAATTACTCATCAAATTTAAAGTCCATGAGTAAGACTATCTCACCTTTCTTGATCAAACTCACCATGACTCACAATGGAATTTGTGAGTAATGCAGTGTCTTTGTTCGTCACATGGGATGTGATTTGAATACTTGTGACGACGACCTTTTCTCCGATCTACACATGGTTAGAAAATATATATATACACACACACACACAATACATGTGAGAAGGTAGGGTTCCAATGTTGATGGATCATGAATGTTCAGGCACCCTAGGTTCTTTAATGTTTATCTTTTCTTCTTTGTGGAAACTCGCCAGAAGGTCGAAACAACGTCTGTTGTCCTGTCTTTTCCATAATTCAACAGAACAGGGGTAATCCCACAAAAGCTAATGATAACTAGATTAGTAGACATCAATATCAATATCAAAATCTTTAAGCCAATTGTTTTTCCGCCAACGGCGCCATAAAACTTGTTCGTATTTTTAAACGCACACAGATAAATCCGCAAGCACATGGATACTGCTGTAGCTTTCACCCGGGAGTATTCCAAGGTATCGTATTAATCCACAGGGAAACAATGGTTAAAGACGTTGATAGTTCATCATCATGTATCTATTAACTAGTATACCAACTAAACTAAAGTGGGGTAAGTGTTGATAATAATAAGAGTTATGAATAGTAACACACATAGGAGAATTTCATGATAAAATAAATGAGCAGTCTAGCTAAATGAGAGGACAACGGGTGAGTTCAAGGTTCCTAAATACTTCTCTATTACTTTGGTTCTACAGGGTATAACTAATTTATAGATAGATATAACGATCACACACAATAACACTTTGGAGAAATAGTACCTTTCCAACTCTTGAGGGGGTGAGAAAGCGTAGTTGGGGGAAGACTACCTAAAGCTCTACGAACACCAATTCGAATGTGGTGGAATACAACAGCCTGACAGAGTTGTCACCTCTGGAGCTACCACAACTAACCATAGGATTGGACACAATATCAGGTAACCTATAGTCTAGACACCATGTCTATACTACCGATTACTACCCTAGTCACGTACTATAACTAGAGCACTCAATGAGAGCGGAGATCCCATGTTAAGGTATAACAACTATACTAACCATACACATGAAAGGCATAAAAGTAAATAGAGAAGATAACTATATTAAAGCATAAATTTTGCAAAGTTAAGATACAAAGAATATACCCGACCTCCAAAGATTCTCCAGAACCTGAGCATAGCTTAACTCTCCCTAACTCTCAACTTAACTATTCTACTTCTACATCTTGAGAGCTTTGTAGAGATTTCTCTCTTGTGGTATATATTGATCTGAATGAGAGATGGCTCTCAATGGATGCCTCCCTGGAAGGGGTCTGGGGGTCCTTTTATAGAGGAACCAGGAGTCTTATGGCCCCATGAGTCCATGGCAACGTCAAATCTGGACCCTCGATACGAACCGACCTTAAGCAACGACGTAGATTGTATCTTAGAGGCGGCGGGAAACCAACATACGAAGGAGAGGTCAAATGGGCCTCTCATAGGCTGACCGGCCTATCAGTTGTGCCGGTCGGCCCCTTCTAGCACCGTTTGGCCCCATCTTTTGCAGACAAGTGGGTACACTCCCTAAGATCATAGATATTCATGTTTGCACATTTGTTGACGTTGGTTTATATACTTGATGTGTATGACATTGGGTCCTTCTGTCCTATTTTCTGATTAAATCCTCCTGCATTCACAGATTCACCAAAACTTGTGGAAATACTTAGTATAAACCTCTATACCTATTTTGGTGATTAAGATTAAGGATAAATGCTGGTTAAATTGACGGTTTATGTTTGCAATAACGACCGTCAATAGGTGTTGTGTCGCTAGGGGTGGGCGTGCCCGCTGTGCTCTCATCTGCGACGCTGAGTTGCACCTATGGTGGCATGAGCTGTGGGAGCCCTGCAGTGTTGCAATGTCTGATGAAGTTTGTGTTATTTGGTTTAACTAGATAGATGCCTGTGCGTTGCACGGGGGTCACAAATTTTTATCTATGTATATGACCACGTACATGGTTTGCGGATTAGATGAACATATTAAGAAATCTAGAAATATAATTACATAGAAAATATAAAGCTCGCTTCATGATCTTTGTCACGTATATCGTGTAGATCTTGTTTATAGAAAATATAAAGTTCGTTTCATTTTTCTAATACTTGTGTGATTTATTATTATGTATTTTATATTTTTTATTTGATACGATTATTTTAAAAATTAATAAAAAAACTAGTAAACAATTTTCCATTGAGAGCCCTAAACTATTTTCAAATCCATTCAGACATTTTTTTCTCTTTTTGCCGCGGTTTTGTGGTGGGGCCTCGGCTGCGTGCGCCGTCACGATGGCCTTCTTGGCCATTTCCGTCCATGTTCCACGGCGAGAACCTAGCCTACTCTATGTTCTAGCGGGTCAGTAACGACATGGTCCTGCTGTTGAGCCGACTCGAGATGTTGCTGCTCTATGCCCCGGCTTTCGTTGCCTTGCTCGTGTCCTTTGCCACCATCGGGCGCTGCCAACATTCGACAAGGGACGAGAGCCATGGACAAGCCGCGCAGCTATGGCCAGGGCGCCGTTGTTGGCCAACGTC